CCCCCCCCCCGCCCCCCCCCCCCCCCCCCCCAGTGGGATGGGGGAGAAAATCAGGAAAAAAAGTAAAACTCATGGGTTGAGATAAGAACCATTTAATAGAACAGAAAAGAAGAAACTGATAATGATAATGATAACACTAATAAAATGATGACAGTAATAATAAAAGAATTGGAATGTACAAATGATGTGCAGTGCAATTGCTCACCACCTGCCGATCGACACCCAGTTAGTCCCCGAGCAGCGATCTCCCACTCCCACTCCCCCCCCAGTTCCTATACTAGATGTGACGTCCCATGGTATGGAATACCCTGTTGGCCAGTTTGGGTCAGCTGCCCTGGCTGTGTCCTGTGCCGACTTCTTGTGCCCCTCCAGCTTTCTTGCTGAAAGCTGAAAAATCCTTGACTTTAGTCTAAACACTACTGAGCAACAACTGAAAACATCAGTGTGTTATGAACATTCTTCTCATACTGAACTCAAAACATAACACTATACCAGCTACTAGGAAGACAATTAACTCTATCTCAGCTGAAGCCAGGACACCCCCTTTCTTTCCTGAAGTTTATAGGTCCTGAAGGTATATATGTACCTGGTTACAAGGTACCCCGCCTTCAAGCAGGAGCATAGTTTGGATATTCTTCTGGAGTATAAAACGTACGTGGTTTGACCCGCAGCTCCTGGGATAATCTAAAACTCAAGATTTCCGCTCCCTGAACAAGTGCCATAAGTATTGTGAAAAAATGGTGTCACCATCTTAGCTACCGATATCTTAACACAAACCAGTCAAAGAACCTATATCCAGGGAAACAATTTTACAGATTGGGTTCCAGCTTCACAATAGTACCTACTTCTAATCCAGAGATTAGTGCCATATAAAATACAGCACTAATAGCACACATAGCACTACCTTATATGAAGTGCTTAAACTTTTTTCCTTAAAAAAAAAAAAAAAAAAAAAGAAGAAAAATTATTTCCTATGAACTGGCCTACTGAGCCCAGTGCTTAGTTTAAATTAGCTATGTTGAATCCTAATCTAGTTTTTTTTAAACCCTCCCTTGTTCAGCTATATGCTTAAGATTAACACTGTACTCCACACTTAAACCAGAAATCTAATTTTTAACAACAATATCCACTTAAAAAAACCCAAACAAACCACAAATCCAAACCTGGCTCACAGTTACTTAAAAGTGTTTAGAGAGTTGAAAATCTGACCTGTAACTGTACTGAGTATGTTTAGTCTGACATAGCAAGTTCAGCTATCCTAGAGCTGGGATGGAGTATGCATCAATAATTTAAGAGTTAAAAAAATAGACCAAAAATTCCAAGCACTCCTCAAAAGGACACAGAAACTGATAGAACAGCTGCATAGATATCTAAAAGTATAGTTCTAACTGATTCTGTTGGAAAAGATAATGAACAACAACACATTTGGTGAAGTTCAGACCCACATTAAGAAGTGGTAACGTACTGGCATACGTAGTATTATACATAAAAGTTACCTTCAAAATGCAACCAACAAAATGGGATGAAACAGTAACTTTGCTGGAGACCAAGTTTTTTCTAAACTTGGAGAAAAGTCCATCAGCTACAACAGTAAGTGGTGCATGAAGTTCCTGCAGCATAAAGAAAAAATAAAAAAAGATGACATTTTCAATTTTACTTCAGAACAGTGGGAAACAACTCCCAAGCTCTCATTTTCAATTGTATGTTAGATGGTCTACAAAACAATAAACATATAAGAGGATCACAGACCATATTTATAATATGTGTATTAAGAAATACAGTATTTTTTGCCTTCCTCATATTCATATTTAACTCTATTTCCTCTAAAAGTTGATCTAACGATATACTCCAGCTTTTTTAGACATGCATTCAGATAACATAGTTACAGGGACCGTGTAGGAACTTAGATTAAAAAAAAAAAGACAAGAAAGTAGAGTAATTACTCCCTTCAATCTATAATACTCTTTAGGAGAAAAAAGAAAACAAAGAAGAAATTTTAAATTAAAGAACCACGCATAAGCAACTAAAGAAAAACAAACCGAAGTGTAACAAACTGAAATGAGTAAGTATACCAAGATCTTCTTTAAAAGACCAAGCAGTGAACCCTGAGCAGTTCCTAGTATACTTAGGAACTATAAGAACAAATAGTGTCTATAGACAAAATACAAAATAAAATCTGAGTAAACTGATTAGGTTCAGCCTGAACATATGCACAAATTCCTAATGTTGTAACACATACATTGTTCTCTAACATAAGCAATTATTCTGATTACTAAAATGTATTTTTAAGCATTTTACTGCTATAGTAATATAACATTATTATACCAGAAAGCATTTAGAGGCAGATGTTTCCTTCTACCTACAGCTTTGTCAATGTCAGTATATTCAATGATTTAACTGCAAATGACTATAAATTTATATCGAGCATTAGTCCTTGGCCTTCAATAATCTCATACATTTGGCATGGAAACAGTTTCCCTTTTAAGCTTTTAGGATGTAAGTAACAAAGCAAAAAAAGCACGCTGTGTTTCATTAGTACTCCTGGAAAATATTTTATTATTGGATGGAAGCATCTGGTGAGCCAGTATGTGGATGGGTTCCTCTATGAACAGCTCTTGCACACATAGGAATGGACTTAAGTCACTTGTGTCACACAATCCTTACATCTTTTGCTGTGTGAAGGGAAGTTGGACAAAATCACATGAGAGTAAAGCTAAATAAAATAATATATGTTTGTGGTGTCTGAGCTTTTAGAAATGAGCTCCTGACTAGAGATAATGAAACCTCTTTCCTATGGATTCCTGTCTCAGATGATTGCAACCTCTAATTATTCCTGCAATTAGAGCAAAGTCACCTGCCCATATGGGTTCCCTGGTGTCTAATGATCTGAACATTCATGCTACAATTTTTCCACAGTCAACATACTAAGACCTTTACTCTATTCAGTTGCCCGGTTTTGATAAATTTAATATGTTCACTTTTAGCATACTGGCTAATTTGAACCTCATTTAAGAGAATAAAAATCTCAAAGGTAATGTGGTAGACAAGAGGGATGGAGAGAACAGAAAAACACAGACACATAACATAGATCAGCCTCCTTTCTCTATGAAAGCAGGCTAAGGAATGTAAACAGGCCTTGGTTTTGGCTTTGGGTTTTTTTTCCCAAAGTAGTTTCCCAGTTGTAAAAAGTCACAGGCAGGGAAACACAGTTACAAGAAATGTTTAATGGAAATTTCTTACACTAGATTTCTAAAATCAAAGGAGATCTAGGCCAGCAAATGAAACAGCTCTTTCCAGCCACAGAACTTCAGCATTCAGAGCAAAACAAGAATTTGCTTATCCCCATTATACAGATAGGGAACTCAAAGCCTTAAGAACAACATCCATGCTCTCAGGAAAGATGCAAGCTGGTCACTGGTCACCCTACTGCTGGTCAAATAAGTCACGCTTAAAATTACAACAACAACATCCACAAATATGTAAAGCTTAAAAACAAATCTCAAAGCAAAATATGCACTATGCCCCTCCACTCCCCAAACAAAACAAAACAAAACAAAACATAACAAAACAAACCTATATTGCTGGATGATAAAGTCAATTGGACTTGGGGGGGGGGGGAAGCAAACCACCCTCCTCCCAAAAAACTTCCTCCTCTCCAAATTCCCCATCTTTCCAGTGTGATTCAATGGCTTATTCTATTAGAGTGGATTTCCTAATATGTTTTTATTCATTTTACATGACATGTAAGACAGACCAAGGAACAGGACTTGGAACTCCCCCTTCCTCCAGCTAACCTCAAGAGGGGTCAAGGATGTCTCCACTCGGCTCTCTTACAGGTTCCTACTTAGACCACTTTGCCATCACATGGGCTGAAATGCCATTTGCCTCCGGTGGGTCTAAAACCAGCTAGCACTCCTACATCTTGGGCAACTACTTTTAAAAGGCTCTCTTACCTATGGTTTTATACCACCATTTCCATATCTAAACGACCTAAAGATGAGAGATTTTGTTAGTAATGCTCAGAACAGGATCTTCCAACTACTCAGGAACTTTCTCAATCTTGTATGGAGGGCAGCAGTGTGTAGGCAGGAGATTCCTGTCTTCCCCATCAGAGCACATCTGAACACAATGGCTATGTAACTTTAGGTAGCAAAGGAATTTTAAAGTCAACAAAGAAGGAGATTACAAATTTGGCTTTTCTAGAGAATAGGCAGTATGTCCAGAACTTCAGCACATAGGTTCTACCTAGACTGGTCTTTCCAAAACTTATTATTGTAAGTTCACACAGTTTCACAGCATTTAGCCAGCACTTTAGCATTAGTTGAGGCAAAGAACATTAATCAAATCAGTGATTCAATTAAAATAGGCCAGAACTCTTTCTGTGATCCAAGAAATGACTGGACAGAGCGATCTCTATGAATAGGTACCTATCTTCTTATTTTCAGACACCTCAGTCGATAGTGGAAGTATATGTGGAAATGTAGACCATTACACACAGGCAAAGCATAAATCTTAATATTTTATTATTTTGGAGATTTTAAACTCCAGACATATGAATATTGAAATTAATAATGAACTGAATTCTCCAGTTATAACCAAGAAGTTATAACAAGAATACACATATGCCAGGACTGTATCCACTAGAAAGTAACCTCCCTTTATTACAGCTTTCACTTTCTTGATAACTGCATTATCTATACTAGTGCTCAAAAATAGAGTTTTTCTAAAAAAATTATGCGTGTGTGTATATATATATTTATATAAACCAACCCTTGGTTTTCTTAATAGTTTAACAAAGATAGTAACAGAAAACCATCTTACCTTAGTGTCTCCAGTTTCTCTGTCCCTGTACTGAACACCCACGACACAGTCATCTTCCTCAAGCAATTGTAACACAGTCCCCTCAATGAATTTTGCACTGAAATAAAATAGAGCGGTTAGAACATAATGAAAGAGGATTGATGATGCCAACATTTCAAGACACGAGACACAGAAGGAAAACCAGATCTTCACTAATCTTGTCTCTGCCAACACACTTTGTTTAAATTTTACAAAGATGTGTTCTCAACCACTTTCAGAAGCCACACTAAATGTCAAAAAGTGCTTGTCATTAATTTCAGTTCAACACTACCATTTGGTTTGATACATGAGAATATTCTAAAACCGCAGTGCTTATCTTGAACACCCTACCACTTAGCAGAATCCCCAGTTGTGCTTCAGGTGCTCCATGGGCAAGGGAGAGATGCAGAGAGGAGTCTGACACTTAATAATGGTCAGAAATGAGGCAGCTGACTGAGTCATCCCTGCTAAATGGTGGGAAACGCTGACAGCGAGGGTGAAACCTAACTCCAAGCAGAATTTAGGAGCAAGATCCGACGTAGCACTTTGACACTTAACATGTATACTAGATAAAAGCGAAGCACCTAATTCTCAGAGTAGATCAAAATAATCTAACCTGTTTAGGACAGATACATCTAGCTTTTCACTAACATGTACACTAGATAAAAGTGAGGTACCTAATTCTCAGAGTAGTCCAAAATAATCTAACCTGTTTAGGACAGACACATCTAGCTTTTCACCTCAGGAATTCAGGATACAACTTTTTTTTTTTTTTTTTGCTATTTATGATTTTAAAGTTCTGCTAATGCTTACATTTGGAGTTTGAACTGAGCATCCCTTACTTCTACCACCCAACCAGAGCTATTTGGGGTTCACAAATTATATCTCTGTTCTTTAAATTTCCTTGTTGTGTCTGAGCTCTTAAATCTGATCCCAGCAGTTCAGACTTAGCAGCTCAAAATGGACACTCTCTCCCCCTCACAAATATTTTCATATCCAGATGGAATTCCACAACTTGGAAAAATGAGCTAAAGGTCCAGGTGAGAATAAAACAGTTTGGTATTTTAGCCTCTCAGAGGGAACATGAGCAACTGAATTCATGTCTTTCCGACATGTCAGCCAGCACAGAAATTTCAGAGCAGATCATGACTGGCTTAATTTACCAGGCAACAGGCAGGTTGGCTGTATCAAAATCTGAATGGTTATGCATAAGCACACTAACAGAAACTTCAACAGCAAGGGAGTGCAGCAACATGTCAGGTTAATAGTAGGTGAATCGGAGTTCTGTGGACCCTATCGGCCTTAAATTTCTTTTATAGTTGTCATTTCAGTTACCTAAGTAAGTGCTCACTTCTTTTTCTGGTTCTCACCCCCTATAAAAATGATTAACTAATGATGCCCTACCTCTTTCTTCTTCAAAATTAATTTTACTCATCTGAAATAAATTCATATTGACTAGTACTTTTAAAGAGGATATATTAATCAGTAATAATTATCCCCTATATTTTCACAAGCTTTCAGATGAAAAACAAAGCCTCATGGCACTATGATGAGTTCTTGATCTCTCCCGCACCTTAATTTAACATGCAGTTTTCTATGCTACAATTAAAATGAAAAGCAAACCTACACAACATGAACATTAAAGACAGTGTGGAAAAAGGGAAAGAATTGAATTCAAGTCTCAAACATTAGCTTTTGTAAGTTTCTGCTTCAAAGACTGTGTACAGCTACTGGAGTTTGCCCCATAAGTTGAGCAAACAGATGCCCAGATTTCACTGAACTCAAAGCCTCAACAAGAAGGCTTTAGCTTTTATAGTTAGTAAACACGGTTGTCACTAATTTTAACTGTACTACAGAGCTGCTATCTTTTAGTGCTACTTTTAGTAGTTTATATGATATAACAGATATGATAGGAGAAAGCAATTTTCCAGTTCAGAATAGACATGTAAGGTAAAAAGATGGTAATGCCAAGCTTCCCTTCAAAGCATTATTTAGGGGAAAAAAGAGACAAAACAAAAAAACGCCCCACAGAAAACAGCACCTAGAATCTATTCTGTTTCAAGAAAAGTTTCCTTCTCATCTCTTGTATAAAAGAAAGAAATCAGTTAAAGAGGCAATACCAAACACTAATTCTTATTTCATTAGGAAGAGGTGTCTTCAAGATTCTGAAAAACAGAATTTAATAACTGGAAAGAGCCAATTCCATTTAGTGCTCCTTTCTAGTTATTTTGCTTGACTTCTTGTTATCAGAAAAAACAGAACAACATGCAAATGTAAAAGAGGCTTGATTTCTGGCATCACATATAACATCAGTGGAAGAAATATATGTCCCTGCTCACTGCAGGAGGGTTGGACTAGGTGACCTTTAAAGGTCCCTTCCAACACAAACCATTCTATGACTCTAAGAAATGTTCCCAGATTTGCCAGTCGTTTCTTGACCAAAGAACTTCTACGCTTTGCTCACTGAGAAGAGGTCACTTCTTCTGGTAAAATGCCAAACCCAAGAATCAGCAGAAGAGAACCAGCCTTTTACCCTTGAACTGTTCTCTCACACAGAGGGGCCAGTACCTTGCCTCATATTTAAAGCCTCTATTCCCATAGTTTAAAGATTAACTTGTCCCAAAGGGTAACATATGATGTATACACAGCGTATGAACATGTCTACAGAAAACAGAACGAGTAACTATAGCTGTTACTTTCTCTCAGTCTTGTTCATTGGAGCCTTATGTGCTGGGACAGAGCGAAATGGTTAAGGAATCTCACGGATGCTGGGAACAGTGCTTCTGAACCTCTGGGTCCCAACTGTGCTGTTCACAAGGTGACTCACTTGGGCTCTGCCATAGCTGCCCTTCGGAGACCCATGATGAACTGGCCATGATGAAAAGATCTTCCACTTGCCACACGGCCATCCTCAGACATTGGATAAGGAATTTCAACCTCCGAGTTGCTCTCCATGTCATGAATTATGTAACCATTTACTGTTTGTGAATCAATACCTTCTACTGTATCTGCAAAATATAAGCCAATAGATGAGTTTTAAGAAGTCTTTAAGAAAGCTTAATTATGTATGAAAAGTATTTCTTTACATAGAGTCCAATTTTCTCAATCAAAACACACATGTTGAAGGGTGAATATTTTCAAAATGGCAGACTGGAAATATACAAGCAATTTCAATTCAAATATGAAGCATAGATAATGTATTTCTTCATTTTCCCTGTAGGCATTCTTTTTCTAAAAACATAATTGAGTGTAGTAACTGGTGTGTTATAGATATATTTACATTTTGAAATGCACTTACCTTCAAGACCCAACTCTTTAAGTGCATTAAAACCTCCAGGTTGCAACAATTCTCCAACTATCCTGTCAGGTTCTTTCAGATCCCTCTCTATCACAGTCACCTTTCTTCCATCCCTCGAGAGCACTGCGGCCAAGGAAGAACCAAGGACACCTGATCCCACAATGATAATTTCTGGATTGTATTGAGGTGATAATGTTGCATTTGGAGCAGTCTCTGTCAGATATACATCTGGGAAGTTTACTTCTCTTTTACCCTTTAGAAAAGAAAGCCAACAAAGTTACACGTGTCGATGTATCTGTACCATAACCTTGTCAGAGGGCTGACTTTGGACTAGTTCTACTTTGACCCACGGGACTGAGAGCGCATCAGTAGCTGGAGAGCATCTTCCAGTTTAGTTTTGTCCTAAATGAAATCAGTTGTACTCTACAATGCAACAAAAACACAACAAGCAGAGAAAAGAAAAAAACAACACTGCCCAAAGAAAGTCAAGATACTTGCTTAAAACTGTCCTGTTGATCAAAGACAAACCACTAACATAGTCTCAGAGAGACTGAAAGTCAGGTTCCTATAAAAGGCAGTAAGCCAAGGCAGTCCCATATTCTTGGTCTATAAAGTAACACACCGATGCCTTCATACCAGTGAGCCACTGCCACACGGAAGCCTTAGCACTTTGCAATGAAAAAGTTATCAGATTCACTGGAAAATGTATTTCTCTTTAATTTTACCGTAAGTGAACCTACCTACCAAAATAACAGCTTATGGTAATACTCAGCACGGAAAAGTGTCAGCAGAAGCAGCTACTTGTAAAATGTTACAGAGAAGTGGTGCTGAAATGAAAACTCACCAGACGAAGGTATCGGCAAAATTACGATTCACCTACATTTAAAACTGCTAAGAATTGACATACATCGGATTACATACCAGTTAACATACAAACTGGTACCTGAAGACCAGCTATGTTATAGTACCTTCCCAACAGCATCTAATCACATACACTTCAAAGAGAAAAAAAGTTGTAAGGGCAATTCCATTGCAAACCTGCAAGTCATTTCTCCAGCTGGCAGAATGAAGAATTGAGTCCAATTCACTCTTTCACAAATGCCTCAGCACTGCAGTGCTGACAGTGGTAAAAATACGATTGCGTCAGAGAAACAAATGCCCAGAACAACACTGACACCAGAACTTCTAGTGGCATGGTGTCATGTTTATATCTACAACCCAGGAAGGGTGTGCAAAACTGTCTGAATTCAGATAATAGAAGAAATTGGGGTAAAGGCAGGCTTTACCAGAAAAAAAAAAAAATCCAGAACTTTTGACTTGCGGCCAAAAATAGTTTCAAGTTCTTTTGTGCAAGGGGTCAGTGCTCAGCCAAAAATGCCCAGAAGTACACAGGAAAGTAGCCAAAGAGTGCTAACCCACAGATGTACTGAATATGCACGTCCAGTCGGTAGTCTTGGATGGCAGGACTCCAGCTAAGCTACAGCCATGAACTACAGCTCTCTCCACTGTCTCACAGCAACTCTCATGCTGGGCTCAGTGGAACAGACTACCTGAGCCCAGCTCCTGTAGCTATTGTACAAGCAATAGTTTAGGAATAATTTCCAAATAACTCTATCTGCAGTTGTCTAGACAAATGTGTTTTATCCATAAATATTAGGAAGCTGATCACAGAGCCACAGAATGGCTGGGGCTTGAAAGGACCTCTGGAGGTGATCTGGTCCAAAGCCCCCTTGGTTCAAGCAGGGTCAGAGCAGAGTGGCCTAGACCATGTCCACCTGGGTTTTGAATACCTCTAAGGATGGAGACTCTGCCACCTCTCCAGGCAACATGTTCCAGTGCTTGGTGACCCTCACAGTAAAAAAGTGTTTCCTGACGTTCAGATCAAACCTCCCGTGTTTCTCTTTGTGCCCATTGCCTCTGGTCCTGTCACTGGGCATCGCTGAAAAGAGCCTGGCTCCATCCTCTTTGCACCCTCCCGTCAGGTATTTATATACATTGATGAGATCCTCCTGAGCCTTCTCTTCTCCAGGCTGAACGGTCCCAGCTCTCTTAGCCTTTCCTCATAGGACAGATGCTCCAGTCCTTCATCTCTACAACAGACTGGCAACTGAAGATACTTTTCTGCTAGTTTAATAATCCTTTACTACAAATATTTCTTCAAACACTTACCTTTGATTTGACTCTACAAACCCCCTGGTCTATCACTTAAATAAGTTTCACTGTTTCTTTTGCCATCCAAAACTAACAGAACATACAACAAATCAGACATCCAGCATCTAAAGACAAACCCCCTCCAACCCTTTCTTAGCTCCTTTCCCTCACCAGGGCAGAGGGTCAGTGGCCAGAGGGAACAGCAGGAGGACACTGCACCCCACGTGCCATGTCTGAATTGAACCTACCTTTCTGGATTTGGGCTGTTCAACTTGTTGAGATCCTGGGGTGGGTTTGGCCCAGAAGAAGCCAACAAGTGGTAAAGCTGAGAGAACGTCAGAGAGCATCCCCAGCTGGGTCTTCCGCTGCTGCTGCTGCTTGGGCCCCCTGAAACGGTACCTGTACGACAGCAGCAAGCCGAGGGAGAAAAACACTAACACGGAGAGCAGTACCTCCTTATTAGCGTAAGTCATGAGGTCTCCACACTTTTTATACACGTAGATGAAGGAGGCGATACCCAGAAAGGTCCACATCGTGAGGTGACTGGTCACTGTTCCTGGTTGCTTCCTCCAAAGCTTTCTCGTCGACGGATGCTGCCCCAAGGGGGGGTTTTGCGCGAGTTACGAATAAATGTACGTACAGAAATGCAAAGACTTCCTTTGCGATGGAAGGGAGGGAGATCGCAATGAAAAAACAAGGAGCTCCACAAAACCCTGTAGAGGAACAAGCCTCCCCTCGCTGGGCTGCCACAGGAGCCCAGAGAGAGGTTCCAAAAACGCCCCCCCCCAAATCAATATAAAACGTCGTCTTAAAAAGCGCCGATCTCCCCCACCGCACCTTAAGGAAACGCACGCCGCCACAGGCGATGCTCGCGGAGCCGGAGCTGGTCCCCGCCGCGGCCCGGCGGCTTCCCTCCCCACCGCCTCCCGGGGTCACCCCTCCGCCGTGCCCAGCCCCGCCTCGGCTGCCGGGACGGATGCGCCTCCGTTCGGCGGCGATGCAGCCGGAGCCTCCACGGCCCGTGAGTGAGGCGACGGCGCTGCCAGGGCGCCGCCCCGGCCGCCGGTGACGCGCCCAGGCGGGCGGCTCGGGCGGAGGAAGGCT